GGGAGAGAGGGAGAGAGGGAGAGAGGGAGAGAGGGAGAGGGAAAGAGAAAAGAGAAAAGAGAAAAGAGAAAAGAGAAAAGAGAAAAGAGAAAAGAGAAAAGAGAAAAGAGAAAAGAGAAAAGAGAAAAAAGGTTATTCTCTTACCTGAATTTCTCGCGAAGATCACAGTAGTTAATTGAATCGCAGGTGTAATGCCTTAATAAATAATCTGAATCCCTGTGGATAAACAATTTCTATTAGTGGATTCATATTTACTTCTTCAAGGAATAACGTTTCAGTCTATGAATCCTTACTAAACTGAATCACTTAGCAGTACTCTGCGTCATATATAGATGATGACTGATGTGCCATGAGATTATTACTCATTATTATTTATAAAATGAGAAGGCCGTGTTGTGTGGCCTCCAGCTTTTATCTATATACCCGATACAACACTGCGGACTCGAATTTTAGATATAGAAATGGCTTCTAAAGCTTCTGTTTCCCGGCATTGTATGATCAAGATATGCACTTTTAGTAAAGTTTGTTGTCATAATCGTGTTTGGTCGATATTTCTCTGGACGATTTCCTAATTAAACATATCATTCATCCAAGAGAGTAATTGTAAAATATTACAGTGAACACTTTACGCAAACTGGGACCTTAATGCATCTGGGCGGGGAAAATTTCAATAGAATTTAAGTACTTCCACTTATCTATAATCGATTTTTGGATAATATATGAAGTGGTTTAATGAATTGCTCTGTACTATTCTGTTCGCTCCGTGTCATATCGTACTAGTTATGTAAGATTGGATGATACACCTAATTCAAAAATCGTTGTCATCGCCAAAGGCGATAGGCAATAGGCGATAGGCGAAAAGCGATAGGATATATGTCATTTCAAGATCCAACAATAGCTGGAATGACTTGTGTTTCTTCTTCTTATTCTCGTTTGACGATGACAACGTTTTTTGAATTAGGTGTATACAAAAATAAGTTACGAGATACGCGCGGATGGTCATTTAAATAAACAAACTTACGGCATTGCCGGTTTTCAATCATTCTCAGGAGAGAGAAAAAATTCATAACAAAAAAATTCATAGCTGGCGGCTATGTCAAAGAAGAATACATCTATTTGAAAAAAACGTTGTTGGACGGATATCTGGAAACTGAAACCGAGTATTAGCCGAGCAAGCTTCAAATTGTAATATATTCACAGTCGAAGAACGTAGTTTGCTCAGTTTCAATATGAAACATGAAGCATATATGATATCGATTTTCGAGTTAGAAATGTGATTTTTTTGTATTAAAACAAGAAAACATCGAAAGCACAAAAATTCCTTAGTGAGTCGAGCTCAGATCGCCCATTTCAGATTCAGCTACATCGCTTTTTTTTTTAAAGGTGTACACAAAAAAAAAACATCTTTTATAATAACTTAATTACTATTTCCACTAGTGATAAAACCCGAAAAGTGGTGCGAATAGTGGCGAATAGTAGCGAATAGTGGCGAATAGTAACGAATGGTGGCGAAGTGTGGCGAAGTGTGGCGAAGTGTGGCGAAGTGTGGCGAAGTGTGGCGAAGTGTGGCGAAGTGTGGCGAATAGTAAAATATTAAATGTACGATGAGTATTTTGGCAAACCAAATGGGGCCTATATTCCACAGCTCGCGCAATAGCTAAATTCAAATTCTGGYTCTCTATTTACCACTACTTCCGTAGAATCTGTAATTTTTCAGATTAAAATAAAGGGGATTTAATTYTATAACTTATATTCACGACACAGAGTTAACTAGAGGAAAATTTCAAGCACAACCTTCACATCTTAACAAAACTGCCTAGACCGATGARAGAGCAAGTACAAAGCAATATATAATCTTGCTTTTAAAATCACAAACGTTTAGTTTTAGTCTCTTAGCCGATAGAGTTGGAAAATGGACAAATTTGTAGTATTTTCCCTTTCTTTTGCTTTGCTGKGGCTGAAAAATATTATATTACCAGCTAAAAAAGTGCAGATCAATGAGTGTTTTCCTACCATGGCCTCAGAGGCGCTAGAGTGCAAGCGTAGCAAGTTTCTTTGCGAACAAAATATAACAAAAATATATATTTTTTCGGATCGCAAAAATATTTCCTTATTTATAAAAGCACATGAAAGCGCCTCTGGRACCAGGGTAGGRWTTTCTCTTKATTGTGTTTATTTTAGATCATGGCCKAACTGCCTGATCTGATTGACTAGAAACGCAAACATGTAAAATTTTGACAGCTTGAATTTGCCAAACGCTGAACAATTTTGAAAGGAGTTGCTTGTTTGCTTGATATTGTGGAATGAGACTTACTATAGATAATGCTTGGATGAGTAAAGTAACCAATGAGTCTGAAATAATTGCCGCCCCAGTCGACTGATTGCCTTCTTCTCAAATAAAATACTTGATAAACTATACCTGGATTGCTACATAAACATTTAACTTGTGCATGGATATTGACATAACATTTAAATTGATGACACCTCGGTAAGAAAAGTCGAAGATAACGGATGAAACGTGACGTTGACGGTACGTGAAGAGAGCCTAGAAAAACATTACTTGTATAAATTTGGCACGTAACATTTACCACTAATATTTAATTTATTTATATAATGATTATTTTATGTTTTCAACTGTTTTACGTAAAGTTTGGTATTTGGTTTTACTCATATTTCATTAGTCGATTTGGCCCGATTCAGAGGAGTTTTGAATTTAGCTATCGCGTGAAACATGGGGGTACATTGAAATGCCTAAATACATTGTACATTTATCTTTTACTATAGTCGCCACTATTCGCTACTATTCGCCACTATTCGCTACTATTCGCCACTATTCGCCACTATTCGCTACTACTCGCCACTATTCGCCACTATTCGCCACTATTCGCCACTATTCGCCACTATGCGCTACCACTCGCCACTCCGCATCGCCACTCAATTTGCTACTATTCGCCACTATTCGCCACTATTCGCCACTATTCGCCACTATTCGCCACTATTCGCCACTATTCGCCACTATTCGCCACTATTCGCCACTATTCGCTACTATTCGCCACTATTCGCCACTATTCGCTACTATTCGCCACTATTCGCTACTATTCGCCACTATTCGCCACTATTCGCTACTATTCGCCACTATTCGCTCACTTTTCGGGTTTTATCACAAGCCTCAAAAATGTAAGGCTCAGGTCAAACATCGAACTATCATAAGCCGAACCTTATCACATCAAAAAAAAAAAAAAAAACGCCTTGTTATCCATTGTTTTTATTAGGTTCGATTCATGTGAAGTTCGACGTTTGACTTGAGCCTAAACATCTCCACATTATCCGTGTCTTACGCCGTGGTGGATTTCCTGCTGAAGATCTACTGGTTCTCTAATTTGCTYTTATTCGTTCCTTGTTGGATTATTACTGACGGGCTGAGGTGTGGCATCACGTTGTGCACCTGCTCGGAACGCCTCCAAAAACGAGCTCTTAGAAACATCTCASCAGGATAGTCCTACAAAGACTCCCTAAAGATCCGACGTAATGAACTCTGTTTGAAAACCATCAAGAGTATTTGTGAAGGGGGCTTTTCTCGAAGCATCTGCCTTAATTTAGATCATTAGATATGATACTAGGAACTCGACTAATACTCGTACCTTGTTCAAATATCGAACGGAAAGATTCCGTCAAAGTTTTTTTCCAAGTACAGTATTTTCAGTTAATGGTGATATGACTGAATAAGTAATATTTGAATCATAACTTTTGGTTAGCATTAATATCTATATCTTTCATTTTCGTAGTTTTATTTATAAAAGCGATAATGTGTAGATAAACGCTATTTTATTATTGTATACCTTCAACTTATCAATTATCCATGAAGTGACACTAAATTGATTCCTTGCCTTTTCAATACTGAATGAATTAACTCTGAATATTCAGTAAATATAGAAAGATGAGCAAACACAACTTTCTCATATTATCATGATTATAGGCGTCTTTCTTGATTTAAACTAAATTTACTAAACACTCAATAAACTGACAGTTCCCCTAAACCTGGAAGTAAAGGTTCGTGCTCTTCTGAAATGCCCAGCGGGCAATTTGCAAATACTTGCTCTAAACAACATTAAGTTCTAGACCATGCGTTTTTTAAAACTTCTTGATAATATTACAAAGAAACAGTTCAGTAATATCCATGTTTACTTCTGATGTACAATTTGTCTGCGTATACACACCTGTTTCAAAAGTGTCAGTCGGAACCAAAGGCATGCAATAAGCAAAAACAGATGGTCATTATCAGATTCAAGAATAGCTGGTATTACTTACAAATCTTGTTATTAATCTAGTCAACGTGTTGAGATTCCAATCTAACCCAGTTGCAGTGAATGAAACTATCTTAAACACCTCAATTATGTGTTTAGCGTTATGCCCGTAATTCCTTTCGGTGTTGGTCGTACCAATATCTCCTATCCCCTTTGGCTCTGACAACCTTTTAACGCGCATGCGCTAATTTCCAGCTGATTTGAAACCACTTTGCATTTTTCACACACATTACACTTTTTCTTGGGAGACAGGAATAATAGAAAAAGAAAAAGCGAAATTAAAGCCTTTCCTTTGATTGCTTGTCTAAGGCGATGAAAGGCCTTGCTATTGATTTTTCTCTTGATGATTTCATACGATTAGAAGTATGTTTGAAAATTAGAAGTTGAAAAACGTCAATTTTCAGCTGTCAGCTGTCATGCTGCTGCTGAACTAACCTGCTGATGAAAATGACATCACACTCATTGACTATTGGAAGTATAAACCTTGATATGTTCAAGATCCATCACTCAAATCTTATGAATTTTTTCTTTTTTTTTTTTCTTTTTTTACCATTCAATTATTCACTTCATGTAGAATCAATACTGAAAATATTAAGTTAGGTGGTATAGGCACTTTAATACAAGGGCCGGTGAATACAAAGATATTCAAGACAGCATYGCTCAACAGATGCTAATTGCTGAATATGCATATGATATTGCAGTGCGGGACACTCTAACCATATGMAATCCGAGCTTTTTTTAGGTTATTATTTTCTAAACTTTCAACTACGTTCAAACCCTGTAAAAAGAAGTCACCTTGAGTTCAAACTACACAGATTGATCGATCAAAAATTAACAATTATTTTGTCCAATCTTTTGCCAGCCTCAAGGGTTAATTTCCAACTTTATGCATTTTAAAAAGTGACAAATCCCCATCAGCTTAGTAAATTTAGCTTCAATTGAGCTTGCTAAGCTCTTGTCTTAAGAGGCTTATTGGGCCAAGCAATTAGGTAGCATTACGTTATTACGTTGCAATTACGCCCCCATGGCCTTAACAAAAGACAGGACTGCTCAAAACCTAAGGTGAATTTACTTTTCTAATCAACTTCTATCGAATATTCTTAAACTAGTAAGATAGAAAATGACCAAAGCTTGAAGGAACACGTTAAACTATTAAAACCGTGAGGTTAGAAGAGAATAAGTCCAAAGCTTGCGAAGATATCATTTCATCGGAAAGTGTAAATTTCGTATGTGAAAGCTATGCTTGAGTTCAAGAGATGCGTCCAAAGAATGTTTTCATACAAAATTGCAATTTTTGATATCGTAATTTTTTGCTCTGTCCTTTGAGTTTTGAAAAATACCTCGGTTTGGGCGCGTTCAGGCGCAGTTTTTTCTCATTTACCGCCACCCGGTTTAGCTCAGTTGGTAAGAGCGTCGGTCTGTTGCGCGGCAGAGGGTCTTAAAATAACTGAGGAGATCGAAGGTACTGCCTTTGTAATTACATCTGCAATGAATCAGTTAGACCTTCACGTGGCTCGGATGACCACGTTAATGGCGGTCCCGTCCCTAATTAACTAGAGACGTTAATTAAAAGAGGACCAGGAGTTTACTAGTTATAATTACTGTCAAGTGTCATCCTCTATAAACAAAGTTAATTTATTTTATTTTATTTATTTCCGACTACGTTTCATTCACTAACGGTTGCGCTAGGTTACACATGAGAAGGAACATGAATTTGGATAGAATCATGGGAAAACGTAACGCCCGAGCCGAGGAGGTCTATTGTATGATAAAAGCTCATTAATTCTAATGTAGCTTTTTATTAACAACAGGCTTCAGCAACTTTTCTAATTCTATAATCTTTTTSTTCCATTTGCTGCATCTTTCTGTTGTTTTATTTACTTACAAAGAATGATGTATAAGGCCTGTGGCCCTTGCTTTTCATAGTACTTCGGGTTCTACTCGTTATAATAATAATAATAATAATAATAATAA